CCACATGATGTGACATTCAAGATCAGAGAGCTCAGATCAAAAGAGGTCAATTTTAAGTCATATGGCACAGCTGTAAATACAAGCTATTTAAATGGTATGCAGGCAATATTTAGATTTGAGACTCCTTATGCTGCTGCTCTCGCCTGACTTATCTGATGGCCTGCAATAGCTGTCCTGTCTCTTGAAATTATTTTTCATATATTTTTAAGTGTAACTATGTGATAAATATGTTCCAAAAGACAAACTTCAGTTGCCTGAAACTACTGTTATTGATGTTGCTTGCTCACCAGCCTTCCATAAATTGTTACCTGATGGATGCCTGTTTGGAGTCTATCACAGGAAGAGAGTCTTGGAATAATGAGGCAAAAATAGGCATAAGCTTTAAGAATAAGAAAAAATGGCCATATTTGTATGTAATGTAATCTATTACATCACTCTTCTGAGTGAAATCTATCTCTTTTTCTTCAAAATACTGCAGAAAGAGGAAACATTATTAAACCCCTGAAATGTGGGCTATTAAAATGTATCCTTGGCAACATGAGATATGAAGATACACACTTCCAGAATTTTTGAAGGAAAGCAACACTCAAAAAATAGGTATTTGAAGCTGTCAATTATCCTGTGAGAGCCAGGTGCATTCATCTGTATCAACTATCAGCTGTATCAGTGATAGCTTTAATGTTTCAGTGCCACAAAACTCATTAGGCACGTTAAACAACAATGACTTGCTTTTTGGAGCACATTGCTAATATAAACAATTGCTCTTCCCTATAGATTGCTGTCATAATAGACAAGTTTCTTATCTAGTGTTTAAATCCAGGCAAGCAGATGCAGCATAGCGAACTCCATTAGGGCAGAGTTAAGCTGAAAGCCAAAATGCACATTATTTTTAGCACTATTAAACTGGTCACTGTTAGACTGAAGGGCAATGGAAAACAAAACATACCCACAGTTCACACAAAGTGCTGTACAGATATTCTAAGCAAAAATGTAAACATTGCCCAGAGTCACAGAAAAGACATGACATAGTTATTGTGTTTAATGAAATTTATCTCTAATAATGTTTCTGGGCAGGATGTTCTTACCATCAGGTTATGGCCAGCTCTGTACTGGACACAGCTAAGAGGAATGCAAAAAATGCATTCCTCTTAGCTGTGTCCAGTATGCCAAACCTAACACTTTAGAATGCCTACAATTGAACCAAGGCTGTGTTTCCTACTGCTGTTTTAAGTGGGTCTGCATGGTTTTACTTATTACTCTGCTGAGGATTACTGCTATTACACAGAGCATCTTCCTTTGCTTCAAAGACCATTTTGGATTTGCAGAGCATGTCTGTCATCTAAAATAATTGTGCAATTTGGTTAAAGAAAACCTCAAGATTATTTGATGAACTTACCCTATGCAGTTTGACAGCACGTATTAGAATTAACTGGTATTTCCCTTGCAAACACATATGCTGCTGACAAAGAAGTGAATTCTTGTGGAAATCAGCCACTTTGTATCTGCAAAGCTCTGTGCCCCAAAATAACTGACATGAACTCATGCTCCATACACCTGTAGCTGTTAGCAGAACCAGCATGGAGCTCAAACCTCTCAACACTCTCAACTACTATAGTAGCAATGAATATAGATGTGATTTCTACATTTCCTATCCATTGGTTGAGTCCAAGAGGTTAATCTTTCTCTTACATTCTGAACTTAAAGTAAAATTATCTGTTCAGAGGCATCACGAACGCAATAACATTTCTGTGGGCATGCCTACGCCACTGAAATGAAAAGGGACTGTCGTCCCCTCTGTTTATAGGAGAAACTCACATAAAGCTTTCAGATCTTGTCACTGGTAACACACAAATTGATCTGTTGCTCATTTCAGAAGCAGGATTACATTATGATGATCTCTTCCTGAGCAACAACATTACTATGCTTCTTGTGTAGCTGGTATCCTACGAGGCAGAACGTGTTGCATGGAATTTCCCATGCTGCACTGAAAACAGAACTGGCTCCTTAGGGAACAGGCCCCCTCAAGCCTGATGCTGTACTTAACCAGCCTGGGCCATGACCTCAGCTGGGTGTGCTTCCCAGCCCACCCCAATGCTCACTAGAAATTTATATCCACAGCTTTTTCTGTATGTTACATTTTTCCCTGCATGGTGTTTGTCTGCTAAAATCATTATAGTTCTAAAAGGCAAACAGCGAGCTAGTCAGTGACTGAAAAAGCTGACATTTAAAAAAAGCACCTTGATATGCTTGAAGGTCCTGTTCCTGAATTCAGAGTCATGTGAGAGAGCTTGAGGCTTACAGAGGGTTTCACTGAAGCAGAGGTTTTATGGGAGCATGGGTCAACTGGACAGATGCCTTAATTGTATAGCTGTTCCTACAAACAGCCACTTCACTAGAGTCTGATTTGCCAGTCTTGAGTAAAGCTCTTAGCAGTGAAACAGCCATCCTTTGCAGCATTGAGTATTTTCTCTTGATTTGCACTTGATTAAAATAGGACCTAAAATGCCAGTTACAGGTATCAAAACTTTAGCTATAAAAATTAAATTTTTTTCAATTATGAAAATTCTAAAATTAAACAAAAAAAAATTATTGTATGCTGGAACTACCAGAACACTAAATAGAAACCAGAAACATTTAAAACAGCAGCTGAACCTTAGAAACAGATTCACTTAAGTGGGACTATGTAGCTGCAAACAAAAGCAAAACTTATACTTCCTTTTTGTGTGCCTGGCCCATCAGAAGATACTGGCTTCCCTGGCAACTGGGCAAAATACTTTCAAGTATGGAGTGGAAATTTCTGGGCATGGTTTTAGTTATATTTACATCACCTTGACAGTCTGGCAAAGACTACATTATTGAGAGATTTATAAGATGCAAGAACTTGCACTGCAAGTCAGATAATCCCCATGAAAGACCCACTGAAACTAATTCTATACCATAAATAACATTTTAAAATAATAAAGCAACTTGGAAGCAATGCAAGAAGAAGCGGAACAATTCAAAGCTAAGTTGTGTCTCCCATTCTTAACTTCCTCTGTTGTCCCATTAAATCACCACATGCACATACACTGACCAGCAAATACCAGGACACAGTGCTGCCAAAAGGGGCATGGTTTTGTAAGACAAAATAATGAAACAGCATCTAAGGATGACCAGTTTTGCACACTTGCTGTGTAGATCAGAATGAATTATTTTCAGCTAGATTTACTTGTGATTCTATCAATGTATTTCTGAAGAGACTAATACAATACCTCGCGTGCCAAATGTTTGCACAGAATGTCTTGCTAAGATCAAATTACAGGCTGCAGAAAAACTGTTTATAATGGAAATGCTGACAGAACTATGCTTAATATGAGAGCTGGTATACCACATACCCTCCCAGAGTATAACAGTTCAGTTATGTATCTCTGAAAATGAGATGAGCAATAACAGAAGCCGTGCAGCTGCTGGTATGTTTGTTTGTAAAGAAAGACCAAACTACCGTAACAAAAATTGTGTTCTGTGCACCAAAAAAAGCAGGCTGCTGCTGATCCAAACCCCTGGTCAAAGGTCCTTATATCTTGAACACTGTAGTGTGGATGTGCACAACATGACACACACCCACTTCTGCAGGTTTTGCTCCCAGCAACTCCCAATCCCTGGGAGCTGAATCAATACTACTGCCGTGTGGTATTACAGCCTGTAAATCACAAGGAGGGAGTAAGTGCTGCTTTGCAGACCGACAAAGAGGGCATGGTGTTAGGAGGCATAGCTGGGACAGCAGAGGTGATTACTAAATTTCCACTAATACCTTCAAAAATACAGAAAAATATATATATATTTAAATAAATAAATAAACTAAGAAATATATATCAAATCAATAAGAGGAAAAGTACATATTTCAATTATTACATCCTTGCAGGCTTTTCTGAGTTAGGGTTTTTCGTATATTCCCAAAGCTTACCAACTAATCTAAAAAGTAACAATGAAGGTGACTTATTTTGCATAGGTGAGAATTTGGTATGAATCAGGGGGAAAAAATGTTTTTTCTCAACTGAGAGACAAGTGGAATACAAAACTGGACCAGCCAGTTTTGAATGGAGCACTGATTAATGGCTTCTAAGGAGTTGTCTATCTCTTTGTATCTGTACTCACCTCTTCATTATTCTTGGTACGTGTTTTTGGGCTTAAAAACTTTAAAAACACATAGTCCTTTTTCTGTGTGAGCACAGCTTTCACTTCATGAATGACAATTTGCTGAACACATAATCAAAATTAAATTATTTTATAACCCAGTTACAACCATGCTGTGTTTATTTTTGTTAAGTCTTTTGTTCATGCAGATTCTGTCAAAAATTGGAGCCCACACTGAACTTACCAAGCAGTTAGAGTTGCATGGAAACTCTGTGCAGTGACTGAATATTCTTTTCAACAGCATAAAGTCTTGTAAAGCCTAATACAACTTACTGAAAAACTTTACTTTTTCTGTTGAAATGGACGTACTATAAATCAAAGGAAAGCCTTAATTGAACATGTTGCAAAGATACTCTTGCCGAAGATTGTCTCTTGCCCTGGAAATGCATCCACTTTTGGAGAAGAACCCAAAATACATTAAGAAAGAAAATAGTGCTTAAGGACTGCCTAAGGAAAATAATGCATAAGGAATGGGACGGATATGACTGGTTTTTTTATAAAGAGGTTTTGATAAAAGACATCTTTTCCCAATAAAACGTGAAAGACAGAGAAAGAAAGGAGATTTCTGAGGCATCCAGCAGGAACCTGCGGAGATACCTGTGCCGGGGGAGTGCAGACGCTTCCCCGCAGGGCCTGCCTGTGGTCAGGGAGGAACACACCGGGCGGGAGGAACTCGACGGCGGCTGCTCCCCGCGGGAAGCCGAGCGGTGCGGCACGGCCGGCAGCAGCGGCACCCCGAGCCGCCGCCGGCCCGCCGCGGGCTCCGGCAGCGCCGGGCGGAGCGGTGAGCGCGGGGGAGCTGAGCCCGGGAGCGGCAGCGCTCTCACCTTCGCCGTGCAGCGTCCAGGGCAGATGCGCGTAGTCCCACTGGTAGCCGCAGGCGCTGTCCTCGAAGGTGCACGACCCGGGCGAAAGCAAGGCCGCCCCGGCGAGCCGTAGAGCTGCAAGGACAAAACGAGCCCCGGTCACGGCGCGGCCGGCCCGGGGGCCGCAGCAGCGCCGGGCGCGTCCCGGGCGGGCGGGAGGCGTCCCCGCCGCCGCTTACCGTGCGCGGCGAGCAGGCAGAGCCGCAGCATCTTCCGCGCCGGGCCGGGCTGGCGGCGGGGCTGAGCGCGGGCGCTCGGCACCCCGGCGGGGCACGGCAGGGACGGGGAGGGACCGCGGACACGGCGGGTGGGCGGCCCGTCCCACTCCTGTCTCCGAGCGGGGTCGGCCCCCGACGGTGGCCCGAGGCCGGAGTGGCTGAGGCTGGAGTGCCCTCCAGGGGTTGCCGCCTCCTCTCCGGGCAACCTGCGGAAGGGTATCACCCCCCGCGCAGCGAAAATGTGCTTTCTTACGTTTAAGTGGTTTTTCCCGCCTTCCAGCCTGTACGCAGTGCATCGCTCCCGTCGTTGCGTGCCGTCACTGGGTACCACTCCAAGAGCTTGGCTCTGGCTGATGTACTCCCTGTCAGGTGCTTGTGCACAACAGTAAGGTGTCCACTCAAACACATCTGCAGAGGGCAAAGAGCCCACCAGAGCTCCGTGTTAGCCCTTCTGTCCTTCCCTTCCACTAAACCTTACCTGCAGAGTACCTGGCACTTTTAGCTAGGAACAGTCCAGCAGCTGCTGAGATGCTCCAAGTACTGCAGTTCATCGGCTTGCAGAATAACTCAGGACTGGACCATAAGAGATGTCCAGCCCAAACTCTGCCCAAAGCAGAGCCAGCTTTGAACTTAGACCAGGTTGCTCAGTTAGGGTTTGATAACCTCCAAGGCTGGTTGGGCTTTCTGGGCGCTGGCTCCAGTCCTGGACTGTTTTTGTGGGGAAAGTGTTTCTTCCTTGTGAATGCTCTGGATTTCCACTATTTCAGCTGTGCTACTCCCTCTCATGCTCAAACCATGCACCTCTCTGATGAGTCCTGAGGCTGCATTTCCTCTGTCCCTCTCCTGTCCAGGACTGTTGTTGAAGGTGGCAAAAGTTATCTCTCTTCCCAGCTGAACCCTCTCCTGGCAGGACAGGGTCTCCAGGCCAACTGCCTCAGTGGCTTTCTCTCACCTCACATCTAAAGAGATTAAGATCACTTAATTTGTTGCATTGCAAGTACAGAAATTCTGAATTATTTGTCTAATCAGGGCTGAAGACAGCATACTTTTCAGATTTGACTGGTGGCACATGTAAAATTTAAAATTTTAAAATACAGTATTTAAAATACAGACCTTCATTTTATTATCATGCTTTAATATCAAAACATTCAGTGAATAGGACCACCAGAGGCCCATTTTGTTACTCTCCAGGACCATAAAAGGACTTCCAGCAGGAGGTCAATGTGTGTAAATTATTTTTAGGGAAGTGATGTTTATATATTAGGTAAGAAACACCTTTTAATGAATATATGTGATTATGATGGATAAACCCCCTGTTGTAAAGTTTTACCTCACACACAGAATGAGGAGAGTTTGATCTTCTGTGTGTCCTGTGCAGATAAAGAATGCCTACTTTCTAATCCTTCAAATTGAGTCAGAAAGTTTATTCTGGCCAATTTTAGTATCTCCATGAATTAATTTCAGTACTAAGGCACTTGATTAGCTAAATTTCTCCAGCAGATTTGACACATGCCTGTTTTTACACAGAATTGAGTATAGTACATTATCTAGAATACACCACTTCCAAAAAGCTGATGGCACAAATAGCCAACTGATGCTGATTACTCACCAATATAAGCACACGCCAAGAACAGCTGAAGTGGTTAATGCCCTGTTTTCTCCTTGCTGATTTCCAGGATTTACCACCTCTTAGCAGAGATGGCTTCAGCTGCATATGTCAGCCACCAAAGTTTATAGCACTATGTGTAAACTGGTTTTCAAACTGGCACCTCCAGCTTGCTGCAACCTCTCAGGAGCCAAGGAAGTAGCAGGTGTGTGTGAATGAGATGACATTAAAATTCCTGAAACTGATGTAAAACCTCGGTGGCCCACTACACTCTTTTCCAGGAACAGTATAGAAGACAATCTCCTCAATAATGGATTTGTAAAAGCATTTTGCCCCTTATTGACTCATGTTTCCTGAAATCTCACCCCATCCTTTCCTGCTGCTGATTTCATTAGGTTGTCCTCTTCATATCAGGGAGTAACATAATCAAGGCCATGATAACCAGGCAATCTCACAAGGGAAAACAAATGTCAGAAGCATCATTAATTGTTATATAGGAGTGGTACAAGAGAGGTACCTGAGAGGTACAAGAAGCTTCTACAGATGGCCGAGTTTAATTCCATAAGCACTTACCCAGTTTGTTCCTGACCAGGCAGGAAATGGGTAAGCCACATTTGTCCTTACTGCCTTTTGAGACAGGGAATGCAGAGATCTAGCATGAGGCAGAAGGCCAGTTACACCTCCTGTCGATTCCTATTACTACGTGAGCTTGCTTTGAGTACAAAGTTAAACCACAGGCTACCATTTGAATTTTATTAATTTTACTCCATTTTCGCAGATTAATTACAACACCAGAGAAGGAGATGAGCAGCAACTATAGTCTGAGCTTTTCCGAATTCTCTGCACAGATACAGATTCTGTCCTCTTCAGTGTTTGCTTTGAAATCCTGGAAAATACACTTAACAAAACACCTCTTTGCATGCCTAGGCACATCCAAACTTTCCACTTACTCTCAGACACTGGACACCAGTACTCAGTTGAAAAAGGATATCAGGACTGGAAAAGGAAATGAGGACTTGTAGTATCTTGCAGTGTTCAAACTTCAGTCTTCTCATAAACATGTGTTAATATTATTATTTTATGCTTTATATGCTTTAATGGAATTATAATCATGCATGACACTTTACAAGTCTACTTAGGCAGAAGTCCTGACATATTTTTCTTTTTATATTTATCTTCAATAAAAAAAATACAAATCATTTGAGCCAAGCTCATCTAATCTAACTTTGCTTTGCTATATCCATATTTCTTATGTCCTTTGCCCATTGTGTTCTGTGACTCGCAATTCCAGACGATTCTGGTCTTGCCTATGAGCCAGTTTTTGCAGCTGCTGACTTCTCCATTCTCTGGAAGTATGTCATGATGTAGGAATACTTCTACTGGAAAGGTAGAAGGTACTAGCAGCCAGTGGCTGTGCTGGACATTTCTGCTCCCATATGGTTTACCATTTGAGGGTGGGGTAAGAGAAGAAATGTACCCATGGGATGAGCAGGAAAAACTCCTGGCAGTATTATTTAATTTTTCTGGTTGCTGTCACATTGTACTGTTAGCAGCAAACTGCCAGCTGAAGCACTGAGGAAAGCTCTTCTACTGCTGTCTCTGGCATGAGCCACATGTGTTTACCAGCAAAGCAGGTACACCTGTGTGCTTTTGGGGATGGCTCAGAGAGGAAACTCATTCACATTCTGCTGAACTGATTCTTTATAATGCTTTGGAATGCCCTGCTCTGCACAGCCCGGCGTGGTTTACTCTTAACAAAATGCACATGTTTGTCATGTTGTTTCAACTTACTGTGTCTCTGTGATTCTGTGTACTTACTCTTCTGTGCCCTGAAGGTGCATCTACTAATTGATGTTCTGAAAACTACACATGGAGACCCATGGAGCTCCCCACTGCCTCTAGTTTGCTGAGGGTGGCTGACTGATCTTAAGGAGCACCTGACTTTTTGAATGGAAATTGCAATCAGTCCATTGCTGGTTCACCTGCTTGAGTGAAGGGAATCCTGGCATGACTGAGCTTGGCAGGATCGACTGCTGAGGGTTGTGATACGGAGCCACGACAACAGACAGGAGGGGTTGATCTGTTTTAGATGCCTAGTCAGCATTTACTGTGCATATGTATATGTATAAGATACATGTATATCTGTAACTAATGCTGTGCTTACAGACAAGAATTTAGTTAGTGGCTGAACTGAGCAATCCTTAAAAAATATTCAGTCATTCTGTAACATGCAGGCTTCTCATAGCAGGGAAAAGACCAGGAGGCCAATCTCAGGAAAGTTAAAGCTGGGCGTGAAGGCACTGCTCAGTAGAGCTGACTCTTTGTGAGGGGCAGCAAAGAGATTACAGGAACCCTCTCTTACATTAGAAGTACGCTCTTACATTTAAATTATCAGGCTACTTTTTATAATTTCTGTATTATCTTACTAAGATTATACTTTTCAGACCTTGTTTAATTCCCTGTTAAGGAAAGCGAGCTGCTGGAACGAAGGGGACTCTTGCTGTACATCATTGTGGTTCCATGAAGAAGAGTAAAAGGAACAGTCAAGAATGACGCCTGCATGTGAAATTACTAAATGAGTTAAATCCCAGTGATCTGTCACTTTGTCGAATCTCTGCTGGCACCAGCAAACTGCAACTTCCTCTTTCAGAAAACCAATCAAAAAAAAGAGACACCATTCAGGTGCCAGAAAAATAGCTAGCCACAAAATGTTCATTTTAATAGCTAATGAATGTTTTACAGCTGTTCTCACATCTGATTTCTATTATTTATTTATTTATTTATTTATTTATTTATTTATTTTTAACCAGAGAGCTAGCAGATTATTGGAAATGGTTGATTCATCATCCCTGGAGGAATTTAAAAGACATGTAGCCGTAGCACTTAGGGACATGGTTTAGTCAAGGACCTGGCAGTGTTAGGTTAGTGGTTGGATGATCTTAAAGGTATTTTCCAACCCCAACTATTCTCTTATTCTGTGATTCTGTGACTGAACTGTACAATATCTAAACATTGACTACAAGGCTGAGAATGGGCCTGCTGGCCAGCTAATGGCCCCTGAAAACCACTGGATATTGCTTTTAGCTGCAAATTCTGTTCTTTTCTGTTAACAGATGATGCACAAGTCACTGATTTTGCAGTTGGTATAAGTGATCAGGAATGTCATGGGAATACCCAAGCTTGATCCATACTAGGGAACGCAGTTCTACAAGAGTCTCTTCTACATCCTCATGCCACAGGCTGGTCAGCCTTGAGGAGAAAAGGAAGCCAGTAGGTAGGAGCTGGAGTAGCACCATCCTTGGCAAAGCAGGAGAGCCAAAGTGAGATGGGCAATCTCATAGCTATGAGAACTACAGATGAAAAAGTAGTGGTAAAAAGTAGCCTTTTCACATGCATCCATGTAAGGGAGTTTTTGGAATAAGCCCAAGTTACAGCACCTTGCTTCACTAGCAGGAGACAGGAACCACCACAAGAGAAGGCCT